ATATTGATACTAGTAAAATGGCGCCAAAAATAAAAATGTCAGTCTGCAGGCTGATGAAACTGGGAGATTTCCCCTGTGACCACACAGCTGCAATGAAACTGTCAGATCCTAACATCTTCGTGAGTCACGCCCCGTCACGTGGTATAGTAGCCGCGTAACTGTTTACACTTTCAAGTTCGTCGTATTTTCCTGATCTAACGATGCGCATGCTCATAGGCATGTATGTTCGCAATGGATAAAGTTGGGCGCCGAGCAATTTGTACAAAATAACTTATCTAAAACACTCACTGAGAAACTTGTGAGATGTACTAAAGTCTTAGAAGATAGATAGGATATATAGATGCTCATTTGCGAGCAAATATGTGTTGAGCTAGACGAGTATTCCTGGTAGACAAAGATCATTGTAGTAACATAAATAAATTATGAAAATATAGAGCACAGTATGTGATAGAAATTCGAAAGTGCAATGCGTTAAAGCAAATAGTTGAGACTGCAGTAACAACAATCCATCCAGTTCAGAAGCAAGCGGGCGGACAGCGAAGGTCAGTGTAGCCATCAACAACATAGGCTAGACATTTTCAAAAGAAGCAGTTAGAGGATAAAATGCTGGTATCGGCAGGGACAACTCTCAGCAAATAATGAAAACTTTGAACGTACACGGAAAACAGTATTCAGGATTCCAATATTGAAGGGTGATCCAGAATACATTCGGACCTAAGTGAGAGGGTTATGTTAAGGCTAAATTAAAAAATCCACGGTTACAGTAGAAGTGACAGAAAACGCACACTTCATCATTCATGTTGATGCTCGCATGAACGCCAAAAAAACCAATACTATCGCTAAAAAGAACCACTCGTTTGAACATCATGGAGCCTTAGACAACAAGTATCTGCTGGTACTGTAGCACGTATAAAAAACGTGCGTTAGAAATTAGGCAAAGCAAACAGTGCCGACGTGGTCGACTTGCTGATGAGTCAGAACGACTTGTAGCTACTACTAGCACAATTGCACCACCACAGAATCATCAACTCTCTCAGTCAAACGTTGCTCGCCAAGAACGCTCCATTGCTCAGCTGAAGTCAATGTTAGCACCCTGCAACTTATTCCAAATGGAGGCTGGTAGCGAGAACTCGGACTGCAGAGACTGCATGTACAAACTCATGTCAAATGAGATCATCCCAGACGAAGTTCACCAAAGTATCCTAGCAACAGAGGAGAATGGCATGAAAGCTTACAAAACGTTTGTAGAGGAACGCATCATCTGGAGTCGCAATTTGTGGGACAAGATGACCAAAGTCAAGCAGAAGACATGGATGTCTGCTGCAAAAGACATTAAATTGAACACAGGGTCTGAGGTGTTGACCTTGAAGGCAACCACATCACTTTTTGCCAGACTGCTGGTTATTGCCTGGTCATCTCGAGAGAGTGTCGATCTGGAAGAAGTGATTGGCATGCATGAATTTGCCTACACAAACAAAGTATTCATGGCACCGGATGGATCTATTCATCCCACTACGGACAAGAGCACAGTGATAAAGCTTCTGGAAGATTTGGTGGCCAACGACACAGTTCAAACTTCTGCACAGCCCACCGAGTTTGAAGAGGGATTGGAGACGTGTCTTGTAGTTGATGGAATGGGAGTGGTACAGGAGTTGATGGCAATCAAGAATTTCAAGACTTGCAAAGAGCTTGCAACATCCTTCGTCACACTCATTGACTCAAAGGCTCGAGGATATTGCCAAGTGCGAGTTATATTTGATAACTACACCAATAAAGCATCAATGAAGGAACAGACTAGAGAGCGATGGAAAGGCAATGTGGGGGTAACTAAATCCTACATAGTTTAAGACTCAACGAGCATCAAAGACGTTTCTTGCCAGCAGCAGCACAAAGGATTCGCTAACTCTCTACCTTTCCCATCAGCTTATCCGCTACAGTACCGTCAAGGTCATGACTGCAACACGGCAGGAGGTCATGACGAATTATGAATGTGAAATAATGCCCGGTGTCAGCACACAGGAAGAGGTGGACACTCTTATGATTTATCATGCTGTAGAAGTTGCGAGCAACGGGATTAATGTCCACATATATTCTCAAGACACAGATGTGCTGCTTTTGGCTCTACGAAGAACGCCACTACTTGGCAACCATTCTGCGCTAATCATGGGGACAAGCGAAAGACGACGAAAAGTCTTCCTACAGCCTATTTATGACAAGCTTGGACCGGAGAAATCAGCAGCTTTGATAAACTGGCATGCTCTCACAGGCTGTGATACGACAGGACATATCCAAGGAAAAGGAAAGAAGGGATGCTTTGCAACTTTCCTGAAGGCAAGCCCCACCATCCTGATAGCACTAGCTGGTCTTGGCGAAGGAGATGAACCATCCGAAAAAGTTATACATGGCTGTGAAGAGTTTCTTTGCTCTCTTTCCTGTCCAAGTGGAGTCCACATTGGGCAAGCAAATATGCTCAGATGGTTTTTGTTCAAGCAACTCAAAGATGAACAAGGAGTTGACGAACTGCCACCGACTCAGGGAGCATGGATTCAACATATACGCCGTGCCCATGTCCAGGCTAATATATGGCACCAGGATATGGTATTGAAACCAACTTGTCTGGACCCTCTGACCTTGGGGTGGCGAAACCTAGACAAAAAGCTACTGACAGTTCTTTCTCAGGTTGTTGATCGCTCCGCCGCTGAGCAAGAGAAGGCCAATTCAGAGTTCCTAGCATTTCAGTAACGCTACTGTCACGCCGGTAGTCTCTACATACGAACCTGGCTGCCCTTCTCTGTACTTTTTCCAAATTATCAATGTTTTTGACCAGGAACGGATCCCAAACAATAGATGCAAATTCCAATTTTGAGCGAACTAATGATTTGTATGCAACCTCTTTGAGTGTTTTTGGAGCAAATTTCAAGTTGCGGCGTAGAAAACCGAGTGTGCTGTTGGCCTTTGCGCAAATCGCACTGATGTGGTCGTCCCATTTTAGGTTGGAGAGGAGTTAACCTCAAACATCTTTGTAGATAATGTACTTAGTGGGGCAACCACAGTTGAAGCCGCTGCCAAGCTTGCTGTGTATATGAAGAACGCGCTGCCAACGGCGAATTTCCTCTTAGAAAGTTCCTGTCCAACAAATCAGAAGTGTTAAAGGGATGAGATAGAGAGGATCTGGCTTATATCATGAGGCTACGTTTGTCGAGGAGGAGATCATGACGAAAACGCTTGGGGTAAAATATTTCCCAACGGAGGACAAATTAATCTTTGCCTTATGTGCCAAAATGAAGACCATGCAAACGGAACTGTATCCAAGTGCCATAGAGGAGTTAACGTCAAACATCTTTGTAGATAATGTACTTAGTGGGGCAACCACAGTTGAAGCCGCTGCCAAGCTTGCTGTGTATAGCAAGAACGCGCTGCCCAACGGCGAATTTCCTCTTAGAAAGTTCCTGTCCAACAAATCAGAATCGATGTTAGATGGATTAGATGTAGATTAGATTAGAACGGATTAGATGTAGAGCCTAGGTTTTCATTGCATGCATTCGGAGATGCAAGTGAAAGTTCATATGGTGCGGTGGTATATCTTCGCGTGACAGACTCGGCGACTACAAGGATTCATGTAAGCATATTGTACATGAAAACATGGTGCTGCTGAGTTGTTTCTTTGAAGGTAAGACGTAGTTTGCCTGAGTTGAAGCTGACGGCTGCACTCATAACGTCATGTCTGGGAAAATATGTGCAACAAGAAATGAAGTTAAGATTCGACAACGTGAATTGTTGGTCAGATTCAAGGGTAGCGATTGAATGGATTAGTCGTTCGATCAGCATATATTTGGAAGACATTTGTAGCCAATCGAATCACTGAAATGCACAATAACGTGATGCCTAGTCAATGGAAATTCGTACCAGGCAAACTGAATCCCGCTGATTTCTGCTCACGAGGATGTTTAGCAACTATCTTAGTTGAGTCTAATCTTTGGTAGAATGGTTCAGAGTTTTTAATGTGACATGTGGAATTGTAACAAGGTCGGTTTCTTTTTATTTTGGTGCTGCCCTCGAGTGGTTCAAGAAGATAAACCTAGACAAGGTTAGTGGCGAACAGATGGCAGCACTAGGCAGCCATGCTGGAATAGACTCAAAGAGGAAGAAAGTTTACTGCTGGCTCGAAATTTGTATCGTTAAACATTTTCGTTAACATGTATCGTTAGAATTTTTCAGGTGTTAGTCAGGACAATGACTGTTAATGTATTCATATGCTGGTATTTTCGCTGTGGTTCAGGAGAGATATGATATGTCTTGATCTAGTGTGTAACAAGTGAATTATATAAAAATCACGAATATAGTTAGACAAGATGGCCTATATGGCAATTTGACCATGTCCGTTATTTTTGTGTTATTCCTAGGTTATATTTTATGACCCAGGACAGTTGGATGCCCGCGAAGTAGGCATCTACTATGGTGTAGCCTAAGCCTCTTACTTGGCTCCCTAGGGTACGTGTGTCAATGCTCTCTGGTGTATAACTGTACTAGTATTATGCATACAGTGTTATTTCTGTAATCATTATTCGATATTATTCTGTATTGTATCTCATGTTTTAATGGGGTCGTTACCCCGTTAGCATTTAGCTGTTGGAACTTGTAATCGACTGTACATTTTTTGCCTGGATTTAAGTGTTAGGCTGTCCATGCTGCTCACAATTGGTATTTGGTATGTTCCAGGTTTTTTTTTTTTTTACAAATAAAGCATTTTACCCCGCACTTGGTCGTTGAAGATTGTTTCTGAACCTCACAAATGGTGCAGTCGACAGGATCAAGTACGGCTTCCAATGAGACAAACCCCGGAGGGAGACGGAGGGGTGGAAGACGAAAGAAATGGAGGCATTGAAGAATCACCCTGAGTTGGACACCGCTAAAGAAGCTAGCGATGCAGCCTACGACACAGTCAACCATCGAAAACTATACCAGCTAGTAAAGGATGTGAGACTAGCAGAACTAATCAAGAACCTGTTGGCAAACAGGCGGTTTTTCGTGGATCTCAATGGTAACCGCAGCAGATGGCGTAGACAAAAAATGGCCTTCCACAAGGAAGCGTCCTGGCCCCTCTGCTCTTTAATCTATACACAAATGACCAGCCAGTACACACAAACACCAGGAGTTTCCTTCATGCAGATGACCGCTGCATTGATTCACAGAAACAGTCCGTTGACGAAGCCGAACGGTCCATCACCAATGCTCTCGCAGGCCTAACCACCTACTACACAGCAAACCATCTACGAGCCAATCCCGGGGAAACACAAATAAGTGCCTTCCATCTAAAGAACAAGGAGGCAAACCGCCAACTGAAAGTCATATGGTATGAGAAATGGCTGACACATACCTATAGCCCAGTCTACCTAGGTGTTACTTTAAACCGCTCTCTAACCTACAAGGATCACATCATCAAGACAAAGGCCAAAGTGGGTGCGAGAAACAGTATTCTAAAGATGTTGGCCACTACTAAATGGGGAACAGACGCTGGGACAATCAGAACTACTGCTATCGCCCTGTGTTAATCTGCGGCTGAGTATGCGTGCCCTGTCTGGAGTAGGTCGCCCCATGCTGCAAGAATTGACCCAGTTCTGAACACTGCCTGCAGAGCCATTTCTGGATGCTTGAGACCAACCAACGTAGATAATCTCTACTTGCTGTGTGGCATTGCTCCTCCACACGTTAGACGAATGGCTTCATCCCAGGTATAGAAACTTAACCAAGAAAATTACTCTCGCCACCCCCTCTTCCATCATGAAACAGTACAGAAGAGACCAAAGTCCAAGCAGTTTCATCCACGCGGTTCAACCCCTGGATGGCAACCTCCAAAACTACATGATTGCCCAATGGTCAAAGCATCTTCAGGCAAGCCAACATAAGCTTTCCCTCAGACCCCAGGAATCCCTCCCACCCGGAGCCAACGAGGAATGGCCGACATGGGTATGCCTAAATCGCCTCAGGACAGGTTTTGGTCGATGCAGGGCACTCATGCAGAAATGGGGATACATTGAAGATGGCCCAATCGAATGCGACTGCAGAGAGGACCAGACTATGGGACATCTCCTGAAATGCCCTGGAGACCTTGAGGCTTTCAACCAGCATGCCAGGTCCCGTGTGCTGCAGTGGCTAGGCCGAGTGTAGTGTAGTGACCCGAGTAAAAGAAGAAGAGAATTTACATCTTCGTAAATATTTGACACAAAAACACGAATAAAGTCTTTTTACATGTTTTTAACTCTAATGGTGTAATTATTTCAGTTAAAACATGAATGTATCTTAAGATAGGGTGATGATAAGATACAGATTAATGTTAAAATTCAAGATGGCCACCACCTGAATAGTAAATATCTATTAATTGTCCTATCTTTGTAAATATTTGGCATAAAATCATCAAAAAAGTCTCCTTTTCAGTGTTTGTCGATATGCGGAATCTAATGGTGTCATTAGTATATTAGAATAATGCATATTTTAAGATAGGATACGTTATACAGCTTATGAAGCTTACCGTTCTGTTATAAACAACGCAATTAAGTTTGACTGATTGTCGTCACAGTTACCACTACATCGGCATAGTGGCATGACTTTCAAAGCAGCCCTGGCACACTTGCATAGTCCTCTGCACCTAATTTTGGCATCCACAGCGTAGCAACTCGGAACACGATATTGCTGCTTCTGGGAGTAATGTCTACAGTGGTTCCCAACCCAGTGTGGCACTCTTACACCATCCACATATCTCTAGGAAAGGAAGTTCTGGAGTACGGATATGTGCCTGTACCCCAAACACATCAACCTTGGTGTATAGCCGGTTTTATGTGTTGCCACAGTGCTGCTGCGGTCGGTGGTATGGTTTCGATGGACCTGGAGTTGGTGCTGAATGTGTTTTCTGGCAGAGTCAACACACAGACATGTAGTCTTCACTAAAGCTTAATGGATATGTCAACAGGGTTGAGCATACCAGGGTGACTTCACCGAAAGATTTCCAGATGTCGAATGCAGTCTTTTCCCCCTGTCAGTGTATGATGACACCGTGTCGCAACTTGAAAATGCGTGGAACATGGAGAGCGCACGTGCCTTCCCAGCACCCAGTGATGTGGCGATGTCATGCGCAGTAATGTATCTTTGGTTTTTGTCTGTTCCAAACGCTACCCATAGTTCTGTGTTCTTGAGGTGCACAGCGCTATACACTGCCAGGACAAGCACGTCAGTGTCCACAGTACGTAACACGATTTTACGGCATTCCTTGTTGGCTGCATCAGCTGCATGATGGAGCATTCGTGTCTGCTTCTTCATGTGTACATGGTGCTAGGGTTCAGACGTCTGGATAACCTTTGCAGCAGAGCACATTTTGGCCACATGTTGAGTACACTTCCTTTTCTGAAGAAATGTTCTCTGCAACCTATATAAATAATAAATGTATGAGCCTATAATTTATTCATGTTAAAGTTGTTATTGTACCTGTTGCAGATAACAATGTTGACATTAGACTGCAAATGCTCATATTATGTAAGTTATATCGATGTATTTAAAGTAGGTAAATGCTGAATGTAAAATGAAGCACCAAGAAATTGAACATTCAGTCTTGTTGTCTCCCAGTCTTAGAAACTCTTGCCAATTTCCATGAATTGCGTTGGATGCGGCAACACGCCTTCAAACGCCCTT